TGTATATATATATATATATATATATAAGATGGATGAAATTTGAAATTTGACCGTCCTAAAAGTAAACGTGAACAGAAGGAGCGGTGTGCTTGAGTAGAGGTGAGAAACTGCATGAACAGAGAAATAGTTAGTGGCTAAACCTATGGAGATCAATTGTTATTGATTTGCAGGACAAAAGAGTAATGTTTTACATTTAACAAAGTAAAACTGTGTAGTAAAACTTGCTCTTGCTAGTGTCTACGAAATTAATTCTTTGTGTGTATAATGTTATTCATGTGTGGTGTAGCAGGAAAACATAAACCCACACCTTCAGACAAAGTCTCTTTTAAAGGAAACACGACTTTCAGTGTTGCTGCCTAGTATTATTTATTTAATAGGAAGCCGAATACTGTTATGGCGCTATAAAGAACCCTCTGTTGTTTAAGAGTGTGGAAAAACACATACTCTTTTCTTTGCTGTTGTATCGTGAAGATTTTTCTGGGGAATTATAAAGTTGTAGTGTTTTTATTTTATTTTATTTTATTTACAGCAAATATTTTAAGATATGTTATAATATTGGTGAAGAGTGTATTTTTCTCTCTTTCAATTTTACCAAGTCTATAAAACGTTGAAAAGTATATTATAGTCAGGAGAAGTACATCGTACTTGACACGCAACATGTTTCAGTTGAATAGATTTAAGACAGAGAAAAAGCAGATCGCATGTTAACACCGTAGTGTTAAGATAATATATATTTAGTTTTTTATGGTTTTCAACTTAACTCACAGGAAGATAATTCAATGTTTATTTATTGCCTTTAGTTTGTCTACAGCATATTGCATATCTTTTCTATTTAGCATAAGTTATGGCTTGGCCTGGTGGTTCGGGCGCTCGGCTTGCAATCTGGAGGTCAAGGGATCGAAACTCATCACCGAATATGTTCGTTCTTTCAGCCGTGGGGACGTTATAATGACGTTCAATCACATTATTTTTCGGTAACTCGTAGCCCAAGAGTTAGCTGTGTTTGGTATTGAGTAGTTGACTTCCCTCTAGTCTACCGCTTCAAATTAGGGACGGCTAGCACAGATAGCCCTCAAGTGGCTTTGCACGAAATTCAACAAACAAATTTATTTCCCCTGCATCTTAGTTAATTAATCACGACAAAGTTACTAAAAGATTAACAGGGATCAATTACAGATAAGTGGATGAAAGTTTCAAATAACTCTATATTAGACCGTCTCCGACTTTGTGTTTGAAATATTAAAGTGTTATTAGAGATAAATAAACAGAAAAACAACATTTCGCTTTATTCAAATATGTTAATTAAACTTTCTTGATATTAAATTTTCTCTCATTATACTTCTTCATACAAAATTTTCGACATATTTTATCAATTAAACTATTTAAAACAGTACTTTAACTAATCGACATACTATTTTTAAGAAATTTACTTCAAACACAATGTTACTGTAACTCATGTTCCCGAAAAAAAGCACTGACTCACAGACTAATGCCGAAAACGCTACGAGCGCACGCGCATAGGGTCATACAAAAAGTGTTCCGTTAACCTCTATGAACCCTCGTGGATACAATATTTCTTCTTTAAAAAAAAGCTTCATTACATATAAGATGGAAACTACAATGAGATAAACCATTCTTTCTGTCATTTATACTCAATAATACTTTTGTAAATGTATTATTCGATATTTTCAAATTACATATGACGAAACTGGATTTAAAAATATGTCATCATTTTCTTATTTAAACTGTTAACAGAACAACTCGTACTGAATATATATATATATATATAAACCTTTTTGACATGAACTTGTGAAGTACATTTCACTTATGTGGAAGAATCATGTACATTTAGCTAGGAAGTTAGCTACGTTACTAGGCTTAGTTGTGCGATCAGCCTGAGGACATGTGTTATGACGCCCGTTAATGGGGAAAGTAGAGAGAGAGGCCTTTTACCTGACCCATTTTCGGAGCTTGTAGCGCCAGTTGTGGAAAGGAAGAGCTCAGTTTGCTCGTTCACTGTACAACGCAGCACGTGCAGTTGTACTCGGATGACACGATTTACATTGCTGTCGTTTCCTGCGCAGATTTTCACTCAGTATTTCATATATACAAATTAGAAGTGAAACTGAGAGTCTGCGAGTGTTCTTTCTGAACAGTGCGGTTTCTAAGTTTCCATGGTGACTCCTTAAAGCGATGCACACCAGCGGCATGGACAAAGTGTTCTTTCACAGCTATTCTCCTTTCGATTTCACCCCGTCGTGGTTTAAGGTAAGAACAAGCGGTACTGCACGTTTAAGTGCATGTATGTATACTCATAGCGACAGGTTTTAAAACCACTTAGCGGACGTTGCCCTAACGGAAGACTGCCTGTAGTCACTACTAGTACTGACAGCAGTTCACCGAGTTCTAGCAGTCCTTTGTAAAATAGCATATCATTAAATATCTCTGTCTAGTTTTGTAAAGATATTTGCTGTATATTACTACTAGTGACATTAGTTTTGAGCAGACATTGTCAATAAATATATTGGTCTTTAAAACATTAATACTATATAGTAATGCGTCCTAATTTCAAAGTTAGATTGGTATTTTAAAAACAAAAGTTTTGTCGGATTGTGGAATATTTCAAAATGGACTGTAGTATTTTTTTTAGTGGAACAATTTATAAGATTTAGTTTCTAATATATTGATTAATCATTGGACGTTCACTGGAAGTAGCTGTCTAGAAACATTATTCAAAAACACATGAAATAGTTTTTATTTCAAATCAATAGACACATTCAGATAATTAATTAATGTAACCCGTTCTTGACCATTAGTTTTTTTTGTATTTTGTTTTTAGAACCACCACATACGCTGAAGTGGTGTGCAGACTTATCCAGTATTAGCAACGGTTGATTTTGATCTTATTTTGTTTATTTATCTATTGTTTTTGCAACTAGTATGTTACCAAGTGTTGTATTATATTATATGATGAAATTATAAAACAACTTTTTCTACTTTCTGGGTTGAGTAATATTACTTTTGTTTTTGGTTGTGACATTTGCAGGTTGAAAGTAGTAAGGAGTAAAGAACGTGCATGACACTGAGTGTTGTCGACTTCATATCTTACTTAATTTAAACGCAGTTGTGTATAGATTCAATGAGGGTTTATTAAGTTTCGGATTCTGTGCTACTCCTGGAACTGCTTTCTTCATCGCGATCGTGTGCCGCCTGATGACGCACTGTTGCCCACTACTGCAGTTTCTATTGTAACAAACTTATTTGAAGAATGATGAGACCAATCTTTGACCACACAAGTTGTCAAAGTATCAAATTCCTCACTATATATGGACCTAAGTTTCCACGACCAAGTTTAACTAGACTTAAGGCATAAAAATACGTTGGAGTTGTATTCAAGGGACTTGACGGGTATGTAGTCGAATGAGATTGCTGTGATTCCAGTTTTTTTCAGCCATCTTTCTTATGAAAACAGTAGTTATTTTCGAAGTGTTGCATGTAAGCATTTATTAGCTTCAAATTCTTGTTTATCGTTGTACTTGAGGTGCCATAAAATATTTCCAGCTTCATCATAATGATTATTTTTTTGAGAGGGAAGAGGGATTGGAAGGTTCTCTTTCGTTACTATAGCCTTCATTGTTCTGATGAATGTCTTCAACATTCTACTATGGGTGATTTTGAGGGTTTTCGACTTCATGGAGAACATTGACGACGCCCTTCATCAACATGTTGGATCCTTTGGCTCTACCTTGTTTAACACAATTTCACTAATACGAATATCCTTTTCAGAAAGAGTTATGACATAATTCCAGCCGTGGCGCATTTCATATCAAATTTTGTACATTACTTACATTTAATTATAAAGCCAGATGTTAATTTTTCTCTGGTAAGGGTTACCGTAACTTCTGCTGTCCGAAAACAAAAGTGAGTTGCTAATCCATATTTAAAGATATAATATTTTCTTCCTGATATATTATTTGATTGACGTTTCAGTAACATATCCAATTTCTGTCTTTCAACTGATCTTTTTCTCCATAGTATAATTGAGCAAAAAGAAAATTATATTTAAACATTTTTTATATTAGTTAAACTTTCGTTTCGTTTGAAGTTAAGCACAAAGCTACACGATGGGTTATCTGTGCTCTGCCCACCACGGGTATCGAAACCCGATTTCTAGCGTTGTAAGTCCGCAGACATACCGCTGTGCCACTGGGGGGGCATTAGTTAAACCTAAAGCTGTTTTGTTAGATGATGCACCGCATATTGGTTCCTTCTTGTAAGAGCTGTAATGCTTGTCAATTTTAAGTTTCTGTAACATAGAGAGTTGATGTTGTTGTTTTTACATTATTCCGTGTCTTGGTGAAGTTTTTGATTAATTTGTATTTCATAGCATGATCAGCTGCTGCTCTCTTTCATTCATACAATTGTGTGGTGTAGTTGCGTTGAAATGGTCTGTTTTATTTGGTAAATAACAAGATAGATTGGAGAGTTGTTGTTTTTTTACCTCAGATTTGTATTTCTAAACATTTAAGGTAAAATAACATGTTTGGCATATAGATTTGTTTTTCGGCGGCAGTGTTTATGTATTGATTTTTTTTTCTATATTAATTTCTATAAGGACTGAAAGAGTCATATTTTTAAAACACAGCTCTAACTGTTATGATATTATGAGTTACTATTTTTGGAATTATATTATTAGATGTTAGACCTAAAGTATTCGTCAAAGGTATGCTTAAAATCATATATATCATTAGCTGATAGACTGGGAGTTCCCTAAAAAATATAAGCTAGATGATTTGGAGTACACTTGTAGAAACATTTTCTGTGTTGTACACCTTACGTATTCCTTTGTTCCTCCTGCACATGGAAGATTACACACTAATTCTTTTTTTTTTGTATTCCTTATTTTCTTTTCTATTTTAGTTAGTTTGTTTGTTTGAATTTATGCACAAAGCTACACAATCTGTGCTCTGCCCACCACGAGTATCGAAACCTGGTTTCTAGCGTTGTAAGTCCGCAGACATACTGCTGTGCCACTGGGGGCTTCTATTTAAGTACACAAGCTTGTTTTACGTTACTTATAAATCTGAATGGATAGTTGTTCAATTGGTAATAAACAATGTTTTATATACGAAGTAACATTAAAGTCGTCATATGTATATATATATAGCATGAGTTGGAAATACATCTAAGAACTCTTATCTTAAATGTGAAGTGCATGCAGCACACTTACGGTTGACCAGTCTTATACTTATTATTTATGTTAGTAGTATTATAGCATTTATTTTATTTAATCAAAGTGGTCAAATGTAGTCGTTAATGTACGACTTGTTTCCATAAACAGAGATACTCCTACCCCCATACTTTTGGTTCTCAAACATTTCTGTTACCTTTTAACAATTTAGATTTTAATGTGGGTTAACATTATAGATTCTAAGAGCCTTTGAGTGTAAGCAAAGAAGAATGTGTAATATTTCAACCACACTACATCTGCCATATCCAGTGCCGACGGGGCCTTTCGCCTAATAATAGGGCTTACCAGGCCGATTGGGATACGACAGACATAGTGGTGGTCTAGACGCTATTTATAACATCTAATTTATGAACACTGTTATGGTGTGAACTAGTTTAAGTAAGTACGTTATAATTATTATCAACTTTATTTGAAGTTATTTACAAATCAGAATTAGGATAAGTGTTAATAGCATCAATTTTACGCATATAAAAACAAATAAATATCAGACTAAATTTAGAATGAAGACATTTTAAAACGTTTGGTTTTCAGTATATTTTGATTCAAATTTCACAAAGAATATTAATATTATTGTCACTGTCTCTACTTCCATTTTTAGATCGTAAATGTTTCAGAAATTATTAGATATGGCAATGCATGTTTTCCTGTGGGACATTAAAATTGTTTTTGAACTAAGCTTGTTTAAAAGTTCGAGACGCTAAAATTTCTCTTTCTTAATTTCGACATGACTATTTTGTAATAAATGTAGATAAGGTTTCATCATAAACCTAACCAGGCAACAATATCAACAAGTTACGTAAACGAATCCTGGTGAAAAAAAATATCGTGCATCCGTATTTCCATTTGAAACGCAAAATTTTAAGGTATTTCTGTAATAATAAAAAAATTAATATATAAATATATTAAGCATATATTTCTACTTTTCCTATTGGCAAATCAAAATACTTTACGTCAAGTGTAATACACGGTGACTTTTTTAAGTTCCAGTACGATAATACACAGTGACTTTTTTTTAAAGTTCCAGTACGATAATACACATTGACTTTTTTAAGTTCCAGTACAATATGCCGTTGAACACGATTCACACTTTCAGCTGTATTATAACTATGAATGTGAACCCCGTGAAGAGTAGTCACATATTATACGACGGGTAGTGCTGACTTCAGTAGTTCGAAATTAGAAGTGGCTTTGTTTGAGGATCGTTTAGCTCATGTTTCGCTTAAGGTTGAAAATACCAAATTCATAATTTTTCAAACTAACCTTAATTATTGAACACCTTATCTTCTCGAACTGGTGCTTCTGTAATTAAGAAAAAAAAAAAGGGGAAGACAGTAGTAAGACTTTAGTTAGAGTCAAATATTTATTTACAGTCAGCTAATCCGTGGACAGAAACACCTGAAGAGGGTTGCTGAAATTATGGCCACAATCTTATGAATCAATTACAATAAAAAAAATGCAGAAGAGGAACCTTAAGATTATGTCGTAGAATGCAATATTCCACTCATTTTTAATTGTTTTAATAGCTTGATAAGCTCATATTTAAACAGAAGTTGTAATGTAATAAATAATAAAGTCAAATAATATTCAATTACAAAGACTTATCAGTACAATACACGTGCTCCCAGTGGCACAGGGGCATGTCTGCGGACTTACAACGCTAGAAACCGGGTTTCGATACCCGTGGTGAGCAGAGCACAGATAGCTCATTATGTAGCGTTGTGCCTAGCTTCAAACAAACAAACAATACACGAAAATCGATGAAATTGTTCCTAACTACAATATCTTTACAGATAGAGGTACAGAATGATAAACATAATAGATAAGTTATAAATACAAGTACTTCCCGATAGTATGTTAGGCGGGAATAAAAACTTGTGTATCTCGCCACTTGCCTGTAGGAGTATAAGGCTGGAATAAGCGTTCGAACAAGTTTAAGTGGGTCGTGCTGGTACATTAATGTTATCCAGGTGCATGCTCCCTTTCAGTAGACTGCCCTATCTATATATATAGTGTGTGC